TTAATACAATCAACAGACAAAAGCTATAGAATATAGACAAATAGAATATAGAAAATGGAGTGATCCTATTGGTGAGGGTGGGTGGTTGCAATGGGCAAAGAAGTAAATAGTAAGCTACTTAGGCAACCCACGAGGGACTTCATAATTAGTCCATCATTTTCCCCCTTAGTCTATAACAACCACCCGTTGCGACCAATGGGATCGCTCAATTTTACCTTTGTCCACTTTGTCTATCGCTTGTTATTGGAGTTTTGGGTTGTAAGGACCAATTTGGTTCCCTGAAATCAGGATTCTTTAACACAATTGCACACACACATTCATGTATCACATTCATGTAATTACCCTGTGTGCGGAAAGGCACGTAGGAGAGCTTCACTGTCATGAGATGCTGGGTATGAAAGCGAAAGAATCCTTTGTCGAGACGAAAGGAGTCTTCAGATCCATACGTTTCGTTGTAAGAAAGAAAGGAAGAAATAAGCTGAACTCTTTATTTGCGGGTCGAAAAATATTTCCAGGGGCATCAAACAAATATACATAAACATGGTTCGTCCTCGATTGCAAACCTTCTTGCCGCACAGAAGATTGGAAAATACGGCATTTTGGACAGAATTATCGACTTTCTGAATGAGAATGGCGCTGTGTTATTCCATTTTGCGATTTCATATAGATGTATATCTCTGTATTTAAAAATTATTTGAATACTTAATCCTCAATTATTCTTGATAATTTTGAGCAAGAAGCTTTCAAAAATTCTAAAAGTTGACCCTCAAGGAACATATCAAATTTTATCCATGACGAATTGGGACTGAAAGGATTACGCGGTTAAAGTATGTTGGTGCTATTGCTGCTGTTAGGGACGATCTATTTCAATCGTTTATAATACCACCATTTATTAAAAATGGTCCACTAGAAAATGTCTGAACTCGATAAAACACGTCATAGGGTTTTCTTCAAATATTTATGTGGAAAACGATGCACATTTGGAAGGATGTGTTTCAAAGCAAGTTTGGAAATCAACTTCTGAATCAACATTACAAATAAAATCATTTGCACTTTTGCCATGTAACCAAAATTTAGCCAATTTGAAGGAGTTGATTTCTAGACTTTCCATCTAAGGATTCGTTTCTCTCGTTGAATTTGAAGAGAAAATATGTTGCATAGTTTTTTTGATCCTTACCTTGTCATTCTCAAAAAACCTTGAACGCCAAAAATGAAAATACGAGAAAAATAGTAAAACTCATTTAAATTGACCTTCTCTGAATCTCTGAACTCTAAAATCAATTAATTAATCAATCAACTCAATTTAAATTAATCTGAGATTTAAAATGAGTCAATAAAGAATCGGCTCTGCCGTTTTTCTCGAATTTTCATTGGCGCTTAAGTTTTTTATAAGGGAGACCCATTCAATTCGAGTTTAGGCATGCTTTGCCTGACCCCATCACAGAATCGGATTCAGCAATTCGGCAACACTGGCAATCCTCCATTGAAACGTATGGAAACATATCGATTCTTGTCGGAATACCTGGCCCCTCCAACAATCGATAAATTTCCATAGGTTTAAAAGGAGAAAAACAGTGTTTTCATAGTGTTGGATCCACCAATGCCCCATCACGAATATTCAAATCAAAATGCAGTGGCCCTTTCGTGAGAAAACGCGATGGTTCGAATTCGTGCGGAATGAGCCCGCGTGTGCGGCGCGAAGCGGCGAAGTCGTCGACAAGTCTGGGCGGCAAGTGGCTGCGGCAAAGCGTTCCGAAATTCCAATCTTCTCCCGGATTTTTATAAATCGTCACTCCTCTGACGTATGGGCGCAACTTCATTTTCTTGTGAGCCCTGTAAAGTTCAGAGTTAAACGGGCGATAGGGTTCAACTCAAAACGGGGTTAGTGCTTTACGTCGGAGGAGGAACGAAATCTGCCGTCGAGCAGCGCCACGTCCCTATACTTATGACCTCTGAGCCCTCGGCGTCATCGCCTCTTCAACCCTGCATCCGGTTGCCACACCGGAAAATATCAGTCTTTTCTCGAAACGTGTAAAAAGTGTGTGAAAAGTAATGATAAATTTCACCTTCCACGGATGAAGCATAGAGAAAAGAGAAAATGCCTTTTCGTGTTAGAGTGATTCGTCAAGCTCAAGTGACACGGTCGAACTGCCATGCGATATATCGCATTGATTAGGTCAAAAATCTCGGCAGATTTTGAAGAAGTCGTAAAGTGGACGGATTCAAGCAGAATCAGCTGACTTTCGGGTATGTTAGGTGATATCAGCGAGTACTAATCCTTAAGGTGATTCGTCAAGCTCAAGTGACGTGGTCAAACTGGCATGCGATATATCGCATTTAATAGGTCAAAAATCTCGGCAGATTTTGAATGTTTAGCGAAAACAAGAACGATAGCCCCTGCACATGAGCCTAAAGAATCATTCTAAACCCAAAAATTGGCAAAATTTAGAGGCATGAAAGCAGAACAGTGTTTGGAAAAAAACCTCGCAATTGATACAGAAATTGATAGCTGAATCGAATGCCAGGTTTTTTTCCAAACACTATTCTACTTTTATTTCTCTGAATTTTGCCAATTTTTGGGTTTAGAATGATTCTTTAGGCTTATGCGCAGGGGCTATCGTCCTTTTTTTTGCTAAAAATTCAAAATCTGCCGAGACTTTTTACCTAGTCGATGCTATATATCGTATGTCAGTTCGACCACGTCACTTGAGCTTGACGAATCACCTTAAGGATTAGTACTCACTGACATCACCTAACACACCCGAAAATCAGCTGATTCTGCTTGAATCTGTCCAATTGTCGACTTCTTCAACGATTTCTGAGAGTTTAACTGATGAATGTGTGGATACGACTATTCTAACTTGTGAGTGTTGCCGGTATCAGCCAGAAATGAAGGCGTTTCTTTCTCGGCTGGTTAAAATAATACCACACCTCTTCTGTGGGCATGATTATTGAGATTTATATACAAAATGTACAGAGAAAGAAGACAAAGATGAAATGGAGGGATCCTATTGATTGAAACTGGTGGAATATTATATAATAGACTGAGAAGAAAAATGATGGACTCACTATGGGGTTTCTCGTGGGTTGCTGTAAGTTTATCTATTGCTCTCCTCCCTTGTCCGTTGCAACCACGCGCTTCCACCAATCGGATCGCTCGATTTTCCTTTGGTCTTCTTTGTCAATCGCTTTGGCTATCAATTTCAATACTTTTTTTCAAAGTCCCTAATAGTAGATAAAAGCCCTTCGTAATTAATGTTTGGCAGTATTACGAATACATTGGAGGAAAATTAAGTTAAGTTGCAACTGACATTGACTACTTTTCCGTATTGTGTTGTATATACATGGTTAACTGTAAAAAAACATATGTCATCTGTGGTATTTCAAAAGATCTGCCCCATTGGCTTTCATCGCAGAAGAATGAACCAACGTGATTGCTTGATTTTTTCACAAGATGTTCTTTCACACAGACAGAATAATCAAGGAAATATCCAATAAATAATATCGAGTATTATTCATTTTCGATGATAAATTGTGAAAGAAATTTTGTAGGGTCACAAACCAAGATACGCGTTTTTGCAGTTTGACAGTCATATCGTCACCTACCAGGCAAAGTATCACAAGCGCCATGCGACGTTTAAAAATTTCCGCCGCCATTTTATTTCTTTACTGAGAAATTGTTGGTTGAATCTGTTTGGAAATTTCACTAAATTTTATCGGCAGCACAAAGAAAATTCAGTGAAATTTTCGGACAGCTTCGTTGAACAATTTCTCTGTAAAAAAATAAAATGGCGGCGGAAATTTTTAAACGTCGCATGGCGCTTGTGATACTTTGCCTGGAAGGTGACGATATGTTGAAGCTAAAAAGGGAAGTAGGTTCCTGCCCGGTCGTAGGTCGAGACGCTGATCCGAAAAGTTCGAGGTCTCGTTTCGTTTCGTTTCCTTCGAGTGTAACGGTCTGACACTCAGTTTTATGAAATTTTAACCTCCGCTGGCCCTGTTTATTTCTACTCACGTTCTAGCCTCTGAAGTTGCTCCCTATCCCCCCCCCCCTTCGACCCCCTTGCACAGCCCGGCCCGCTGAGTATCTTGGTGACTCGTGAAAAAAGCTTAAACGTGAAAAATAAAATTTCAATTGATTCCGAGAAACATTCCCTCGTTTCAGTTACGTTGGCGCTTTGTACCCTCCCCCCTTTTTTCAAAGTTCACCAGTCGGATGAACTTAACCAGAATCAATTTATCCGAAATTCATGTTGCCTAATCTCCGTTTTTTCTTATTGCTTTTTGTTAAAATCAAGCAACATGCTGTCTTGAAAATGCCGCGAATTTACCTAATATTTTAGAGAATGAAATCCCAAAACCTCAAGGCAGAATGTCGTGTGGTTTTCTTGAAAAAATTTGAAGCATGAAACATTGAAGAAATTTGTTAATTCTGATTAGGTCTGTACATTTTATCACAATTTTATGCAGTATAAAATGGAATCAACTAGTTTTATCAGCCCGCACAAAATTAATATAAAATTAATACTTGTGGCATGTGGCAGTGTTATGTATTTCATAATCGTCATGGCAGCTGAATTTTGATTTCGAGTGATCAATGATTTTTTCACAATCCAGACGAACAGTGCAGGCTGATTCTTTACTGGGTGACTATGTCCCTCCCACACCCTGTTACCTCAAAGGGTCATGGTGTAGGAGTGACATTACTATCCACGGTCACGATGACTGAATTTTGAGTGTCCTTAAATATCAGTCACCTCCGGGGATTCAACCCGGGACCTCAGTATTGGCAGCGAACCGCCTTTACCACTACACCACAGAGGCTGATTGTGAACCAAGTATACAGTTGCGGCAATGAGATTGTTCATCCTCTAACTTCACTCAAAATTTTACTTACCATAATGCAGTTCAATTCTATGTTATTATCATGGCAATGTACTTTGTCTGTTTTTGAAACATTTTTGAAAACTTGGTCAAATTTTTTAAATAAACCCATCCAATCGCTTTTAATTTTTATTTTCCATCTCTTCTTCGCTACACTCGTTTAACAATCAGAAAATTAGAAACTCAAATGAAACCGGATACATTTGCATTGTTCAGAGGACTTCTAATCTTGCTGTACGAATTTTGCAGGTAACCATAGAAGGCAAAGTGTAGTGAAAGTTAATGGATTTCGAAATGGGTCAGGCCGTGGGTTAAAGGAGTAGCCTGATGAGATCATCAAGGGCTGGTAGGTGACGTGAATACTGAGGTCCATTTATGGGTTAGGGAAGTTAAATGGGATGATAAGGGTTAAGGGGGGATGGAGGTGATGGAGATGTTGGGGATGGTGGAGATGTTGGAGATGGTGGAGATGTTGGGGATGGTGGAGATGTCGGGGATGGTGGAGATGTTGGGGATGGTGGAGATGTTGGGGATGGTGGAGCTGTTGGGGATGGTGGAGCTGTTGGGGATGGTGGAGATGTTGGGGGCAATGGAGTCGTTGGTCGTGTTGGGCGCGTTGGTCGTGTTGGGCGTGTTGGCCGTGATGGGCGTGTTGGTCGTGAGGGTCGTGTTGGTTGTATTGGTTGTGTTGGTTGTGTTGGCTGTGTTGGTCGCGTTGGTGGTGTAGGTGATGTTGGTGGTGTTGGTGGTTTTGGTGGTGTTGGTGTTGGACGAGGTGGGCGCGTTGGGGCTGGTGGGTACTTCTGGCCGTTCAAACGTCGGATGAGGTCCATGGATTCTACACCGTCAGCGTGAAGGTTGCCGCCAGTTTCGCCTTGTGCGTCGTTCATTGTGTTAAGCATATATTCCGAACTGACATCCTTGTCCCTGATGTTTGAATTCCATTCCGAGTACTCGAATGCCTTCGCCATAGAATCGTCATCATCGTTCATGAACTTAGTCTTCAAGTTTTCAACTTCGCCATGACGGAAATCGGGAGGAAATGCAAATGCATGTAAGCCCACCATGTTGACCATCGCAATCGTGAGCGCAGTCACTAGCACGATTTTGAGCGTCATCTGCAATGCAAAGAAAAATCATAAACATATACAAAACAGACAGCTACTATCACTTGGATTGCATTTTGCAAAAAGGAACCACTAGCATTGCAATGATGCTAAGATTGCGCAACTTCATCCTTTGCAATAAAAGTGCGGAAATTGTGAAAAACTATGAAATTTAGATGGTAATTTTTGTCATAAATTTACAGTTTTTAACGAGTAAAATAAAAACTATTAAGGGATAATCAGGTTTTTCCTCCAATACAAAAGAAGTTGCACAATCTTAGCAACATTGCAATGCTAGTGGTTCCTTTTTGCAAAATGCAATCCACTTGGACCGCGTTCAGCATAAGTGAACCAGGCCACATCAGCTATTGCCAATTTTAACCGTGCAGTTTAATTTTTTTACAAGAGAACGTTTTTGCGGATTCTTTTGAAAATTCTAAGGAATTTTCTCGTACTATGCAGAAAATTCACTGAAATTCGCACAAAATCCGCATAACCGTTTTCAAGTAAAAAATTAAATTACCCAGTTAAATTTGGCAGTAGCTGATGTGACTTGGTGCCGTTCTGCTTAACGCGGTCCACTTTTTCAATGGAAAAGCCAGTCCAGGAATGATCAAACTTCGAAAAATTACAAAAATTATCATAATCGCAGAAAAATGGCCGTCGGCATCAAACGTATCTGTTAATTATTTTTTTTAAAGAAAATTTAATTTTACCCCCGCATAAGGTGACACAATGGAAATAGTTTCTCTTGAATATGCCGCGACTGAAATTCTCGCTGAATCAACTGAAAATATGTTTAAATTGACAGAACATCTCTTTGAAGTAAATGGAATGTTGTTTTGAACTAAGAGGATCTGTTCTTATAACGAGGTATTTCTATTGTGGTATATTTATCAGGAAACTTTTCTATAGGTGTACGTTTATCATCGGCAGATCCCAGTTAGTTGGACCGCGTTCAGAGGAAAGGAACCAATCCACATCAGCCATTGCCAAATTCATTTGGGTAGTTCAATCATTACATGAAAACTGTTGTGCGGATTTTAGTGGGAATTTCAGTGAATTTCCTGCATAGTAAGAAGTAAATTCCATACAATTTTTAAAGGAATCTGCACTAACGCTCTCTCGTAAAAAATTAAATTGCCTAGTTAAATTTGGCAATAGCTGATGTGGCTTTGGATATTTTCTGCTAAATGCGGCAGTGTTGGAACTTTTAAGATTATAATTTCTGAAACGGAAAAAGCGAAAACTTCGATATCACTGCATATCATTAGTGTCTTAATGAGAGATTATAACTATGCGCCAGATAATTTTTAAGTCTCTTATTGGTGAAAGATTAACATTATGTGCCAAACCATTTTAAAATAATAAAGCATCGATAAATAATTGATGCACTGGATGCGAAAATGGCACTTCTCGGTTGCAGTGTTTCAGAGTCTCTTCTAATATTTCATTCGTTGTAAGAAAAGTGCATAATGCATCCTTTTCACGAAGCATTTTATTGAATATTCATTATGATTTTACAATTTTCTATGAAGAGAATTTTGAGAAATCATCCATTAAATTCTTCTCTAAGGGATTAATCAGCAACAGAGACTCTGAAACACTGCAGTCGAGAAGTGCCCTTTTCGCACCCAGTGCCTCAATTAATCAGAATCATCTCTAATAAAGCATTTTTTTATAAATTTTTAAACACGGATTCAAACAAGTTCACTTGACAAATTCAAGAAGAGGACTTTTTTTTTTACCTTTGTGTGTAGTATCACCTCCTTGTTCTGTTTCCAATAGTTTCTCAGTTGATAAGACCTCTACCAAAGCACAGGTTGAACTGAATCAGTGCGATCATGCGTTCACACTAAGCGCCATTTGTAATCAAGTGTTTTCGCAGTTCTCATAGATGCGATAACCGTAAGATTTGCTGCACCTAATTTTATTTTTTCAATCAATATTTACGTTTTGTTCGCTCGGGGTGTACGTCATCTCTCGTACGACATCGCATTGCTCTCATGTCTTCTTATCGAACACTTAACGGAACAAGTAATAACCCGACTCATAGGCCCAAAGATAGTTAAGGATTAATTGACTTACTATTGATGCTGGATACGCACTAATTGGCATTTTTGTCATGCTGTGTAATGTTGAAATGAACTCTGAAGTGCTCTTTCCTGGCAGCCCTCGACATTGAAACGAACGCAATTGAACTTAAGTACCTGCATGAGCGTCAAATTCCATCGTCTTCAAAAAAACAGGAAAAACTATGACACTCTTTCGAGTCCAAAAATAGACTACGTTTCTGAAGAATACCCATTAATCTGGGATAAAAAGATCGAGCGCACGGCAAATGTCACGTTTCCCCCGTTTTTTTTAAAACTTTAATTTTGGCGCTTTGGCCTTAGAAAAAATTATCAATCAATCGGAGGTTTCCTCAAAAATCTTGCGATTTAGATTCCTCCATTTCTCCAAGTGACATTTTGTGCTTCATGTAACAATTCGACGGGGTTAGTCGGCCATCACATAACTCGGTTTGCAGCATCGCAGACTTCCTATCATATTTTATTTTTTAAACGGAAAACTACACAACGGCAATTCTTTAAAAATGCCGTGATTTTTGTTCTCTATGCCAAGAAAAGTCTGCAAATTCATCAAGGAATTATGTCAATTTGCTTTCCTTTAGAAAATAACATAGAGGCGGAGATTTTCAGACACCGCAAACGAGATATGTGATTGCGGACTGACATTGTCGACTTGCACAATACATGCTACATAGATTACCGATAACTTGCCTTACCCACCCAACAATTAAGATACAAAATTTTCCCTCCACTTTCTGATCTCAATACCATACTTTCAAAGTTTTTTCATGAAATCCCGCTCTTTTTCGAAAGAATTAATCTCCGAATTTAATGTATTCTTTCCATATCCTATCTTTTAATTTTGTGTACTACCCTTTTGTGACCTCTACTTTTTAAATTTTGTACATTCTGCACTATACTATTTTGATCTCTCTTCAAAGGTGTTAATGGCTCAGATGTTAAAAGCACCAAATAAACGTATCTACCAACCAACCATACATGTTTATTCAAAACTCAATGTAGATCAGACTAGCTCGTTTAGCACCAGCCAAAAGCCGCAATTAAATCTACTGTCCGTGAAAACTTCAACCTACAATATTCTCAAAGTTTATATAAAAATTAATATTTTATCCGAGCATATTTTGCAACATCCTGAAGCTCATACGGCGTTTTTCGGAGGGACGGGTGCTCACACCTACAAGTTCATTTGGCGAACTAAATGACTGGGTCCGGTTCCCTCGCGTCTGAGCGAGCTGGAGCCGGCTGCGCCCTCTCAAAAGGTTATTGTTCAATTTCACCCTTTTGTCGCGTGAATTACTTTCCTTATTGGCCTCTCCGTACTCTCCGCTCTGAGCATCAGTTAATTTTCCCCGTCTACGTCCCGTCCGCCCACGCAAACTGTCCCTCTCGCTCTCGCTGTCCCTTGCTCCAAGTTGCATCTTCTTTCCAATCTCCGTCGTCTGAATTTGCACACAGCGGGGTTGCACCCAGTTTAAGGTACGGTTCCATTGGCGGCGCCCGACGAGATTTGCGCCATTGGGAGCAATGCTTTTTAATATACCTGCCAAGTTAAACTCAATAATATCCTGCACTCCTACTCTTTCATGTAAATTCACAAGAGTAACGCATAACGCATGAGGTGCGAAGCGTCGGAGGGTTTGAACCGCGCTAAGCGGTCAGGAGCCTAGTCCCCAGTGATGGAAAATTTCATGAAATTTGTTCGCGTGAAATTTCATGAAATGCATTCGCGTGAAATTTCAAGAAATTTATTCGAGTGAAATTTCAAGAAATTTCATGAAATTTTCTGAAACTTTTGAGGATGCATTCAGGAGGCCAAGAAACACCTAGAAACAGTGATTCTCAATTTTGTCATTTTTCACCCCAAGCCTAAAACATTCGAACATTGCAAATGTTTTCATTTGGTGTAGAGGTAAGGACTTTTTTGCAATGGCAAATCATTGTAATCTCACGTGAGGATCCATTTTTAGGGTTTCTTTCCTAAATTTTACTTAAGATTTGCAAACATTGTCCTTATCTTTGGAGCTATCTTAAGGATCTCTTTACTTCCTCCTTGTTCACAATGTAAGTCGTAGGGGCCTTTTTAAGGCTAGAAACTGTTCAAGAAACAACAATGAATACGGCCCTCATTTTTTCCAGATGATTTTTGCTGTTACAACTGAATCAGTCGAATTTTAAAGAAAACTCCTTGTCGAATATTTAGGCGTTACTGCTGTCTCCATTACTGATGCAGTGCACTACATATGAGGTGATTTGCGTATTTTTCATCCGTGGCAAAAATCCGGGTGCACGAATCTACGGCGCGGCCGATCTCACTTCGCGCGCTACCTATGGAGCAGAGGCTTAACCCTCACGATCAGCGACTCGGCGATTCGGAATTTCGATATGAGTGCCACGATTCTCGCATACCCGCAAGGGGACAATTAAGTTTTAAAGCGCAGAAAGCAGAATGTATAGAAAATGAAGTAAAACTCAATCATCTCGAAGTACGATATACGTAACAATTTAATATCGGGAAGCAGCTGTTAAAAAAGGAAAATATATACAAATCAGGGCGTTTTGAGGTGACAAACAACAAATATTAGAAACCAGTATAAATCCCTCGAAGAATCCTCAATAGAGTATTTTAATGCATCTGATTGAGCTGAACACTCTCTCCTCTCAGTTTTGCTCTGAAACTCATTGAAGTTCGTTCTTTATACTTATAGTGAATCACTGGATAAGGTGGAAATTAAAGCGTCATGAGCCATAATGCTTCATATTTCACGGACTCGTGAATATCAAATTTTGGAGAAGAAACTTACATCAGAATGCTTAAACTTGTCCCTTTCCTAGTAGTCGATTATAATTTCGGTTTTCCCGCTTGTTTTTTTTCTTAAATATGCTCAAGATAAGTAACATCCATTCTAAAGTTCGTTCCAGCAGGGCTTTTGATTGACTGGCGCACGGTGGAGCGAACTAATACACGAGGTCGGACATAGAGTTTTTGGCTAAAATTTCAAATTTTTATATTTACTTTATCTTAAATTTAATTTCAAAGGTTGTCTTTTTTTCATATTTTAGAAAATTTAAGCTTTCAAAGTTTCCAGATTTTGTCCGACTTATCCCATTGACTCGATGCTTGTGCGGCGCACAGTAGATCGAGTCAATTTTTCGATTCTTGACAGCATACCCAAGAATATTTCTGCGTAGATCGAGTCACTTTTTCCTCTAATGAAATTCAAAAATTATGCTGTCCGTTATTCCATACAGATGCTAGGAGTTAGTGAGTTTTCAACTACCGCTCGCACCTTATGCCGTTGCCTCGTGCTTCGATTTGCAAGGAAAGCTCCTTACTCTTAAAGGATGCCTGTCACTCTTAATATGGTGGTGTGCCTTCACTTTCGTATGATACTTTGCAATACCTTTGATGTAAAATAGTTGCTTGAGGCGCCTTGGCACGTTTTGGCGCGGCGGGCGGCCAGCCAGCGCAAAAGTCGCATTGGCGCCTACAAACCTAACAGGGATACTTCATGCATTGCGCAATGCGTGAAGTATCACCGTTAGGTTTGTAGGCGCCAATGCAACTATTCTACCACGAAAGTATTGCACGGTATCGAATGTAATTGAAGGCGCACTAACGTATGAAACTTGACTGTTACCGTCATGGTGTCAGGGGGTATTTCTTAACGAGGAACTTGAATCTCGACTTAAATTTTTAAAATTCAAAAATTTAAAATGGCAGAATTTGCCGCTTCGTTCTTCGCACTGGCAGCACGCCACTCAGTGGATCGAGTCAATCAGACAGGTTGGACATGAAGTTTTTGACTAAAACTACAAATTTTGATATTTATTTCATCAAATTTGAACTTCTAGGAGGTGCTTCTTGAAGAAAATTTCCCGAAAAAAAACCCCATGAAATCAATTTTGGAATCTCAAAATTTGTATACTCGGAGTTATTGGCGTTTAAAGTCTCCAAATTTTGTCCGACCTCTTATATTGACTCGATCCACTATGCGCCGGTGGAGCCGCAGCCTATCGACGGATGTTGCATCCCGGTGCAAAGTGCGGCCAGAGAGACCCTGGCGATGTTGCAACAGGGAAGGAATGGGAGTCGGCAGGGACCTGCGAGATCATGGGGAATGCGGGGCGAAAGAGACGTCTCAAAGCCGGAGTGGGGGGGGGGGGGGGGGGCCGGGGCAAAGAACCCGTGTTCTTCGCGTCACTCAAATTAATTAACAACGGGAGTTCCTAATGTGATGTAAGTCTCCAGCGACGCAGGGCGGCAGGGCGCGACGCCACTCAAAAATGGAAATTGAAAACCACCATCCGCGAACAGATTGCTCGATGGAGCCTGAAGAAATGTGTCGACCCCATCTTCCCCCTCGCCGCCATTCGCCGTTTTAGGAGCTAATGCGCCAGTTGCCAAATCGTCACCCTCTGGCGAAAGTATCACGAACGCCATGCGATGTTTCAAAATTGCAGCCGTCATTTTATTTTTTTACGGAGAGATTGTTGGTTGGATATGTTTGAAAATGTCACTGAATTTATCGGCAGCACAAAACAATTTCAAGGAAATTTTCGAAAAGCTTCGTTGAGCAATTTTTCTTTAAAAAAATAAAATGGCGGCAGAAATTTTGAAACGTCGCATGGCGCTTTGTGAGATCACGCCTAGCCCCTTCAATATAGCAGATGCAACACGAACATCCATCAAGCACGAATAGTTGTATCTCTGCGCCGTAGTACATTTTTTTCACGGCACCCAGCACAGCCGCTCCTCATGCGCTAACTTTCATGTAGTCCTGCGACTTTAA